CCAAGAATATCGGGGCTGGAAAACAAAATAGTCCCCTATTGTACCCACATACATAGTTAATCTATTTCACATCAGAATAGTGACACACAAACATATTTTATCATCATTGCACATTTTTGGTTAAATATTTCAAAATGCTATTTGCATTAAAAACCAATTGTAGTTTTATTAAATAACCAAAAGTCTTTGATTTCACTTTTGTCTCATTTTCTCTAAAGCCCAGCCCAATTGCTTTCTTTTCTCTGTTCACAGCACAGTTGTACTGTCTTTCCTTTTCTTATTACATTTTCTTTCCCAGAAATTATTCCTATCACCTTCAAAATTTATACTACCTGCGTTCATTAGCATCCTAAATTACCAATGTCTCAATATTCTTTAGTTTTATAATTTATTTCTAGATAATGATTTTGATTCATCACTATATCAGGTGCCCCATAGTATTTTATTTAAACCTCTTTTGTGGTTCACATTGTATTCCTCACAAGATAATGTATGTGGAACAATCCTGAAGTGACATCGATAGGTGATCCAATATATTTCCAAGTATTTATCAGGCATATAAGTTTGTGATTTCTGTTTAAGAAAAATGTTCCAGAACAAAATTGTACCCAAATATTACTTCAAAATGAAGTGGGCAGACATACAAAAATATTGAGTACAATTACAAGACAAATTTGCTTCTGTTTCCAAGATATAATCAATTATTTTTTTCTAGATTATATTTCATGCACTTATATTGCTTTTCAAGTTGACTATTTAAAAGCTTCAATACTTCAAATGGTTTATGAAATGTTGCATAACAGCATGGATAATATTTGTAAATGTTAGGTTTGGCTCTTTTTATTAAATGTAATATATACATTACATTTAATATATAGTGTATGTATATAAATGTACCTATACATTTATATATACATATGAAACAAAAATAAAACACAGAAACAGAAAACTGCATAACAACCCTATTTACATGGCCAAATATTGGGGTTTGAATCATAAATACAGGAGTGAGTCAGTGTGCTAAACCAAAGGCAGGGAACCACGGTTCCAGAGGACTGTAACAAATTGCAACATAAATAAGAGGAAGATAAAGAGGAAATCATAAAGTTAAAACATTCCAGTGGGGGACAAAGCATAATTTGGAAAAAATTTGATTGTCCATGATTTTTTCACATGATTTCTAAATTTTGTTATAGAAAGGAAGAGTTTGAAACCACCAGCCCACACTGAGGGTTAAAGATGAAGATTTCAACTCCCTAAAAAGTCCCCGTCTTGTGAGCCCCGGGGCAGGTCTACCCTGTCCTGCAGGGTCGCCAGGAGTCAGAACCACCTTGGTGGCAGTGACAGACTCCGTTTAAAAAGGAAGTGATTTATAAAATTATTGCTAAGTTCCTCTTTCAACAAAAATATACTTTTATAAATGCCCTCCAAAAAGCTTTGCCTGTGTATAATTTTTCAGATAATCCTGCACATTGCAGTCCCTTTCTCAAGTATTGCTATATTAATACTTTTTCATGTATTACTAAATACTTCAGTAAGACACTAAGATCTAATTTGATCAATTTCACAATAAAGTATGATGTGACAGGGTAACCAATTGTTTCCATTCCAGTGTGTGGAAGTGTCATTTGCAAGGTTATCCATGAAAAACCATTATCCTCACAGATTTCGCTTCTATAAAATAACCAGGAATACTAGACATAACGTTCTATTCATTCTTCATTCAAACATTTGGAAAATACCCAGCCACTTATTATGCACTGTTATAAGAATTGCAAACATATCCAATGTGAATAAACCCTGTGCCTTAAACAATTTCCCTGCTAGATACTCGAGAAAGACCCCGGAAAGGCAGAACGTAGACTATGCGTTGTTACCGGTTACAATAAAGGGGCTTTTCATTGGAAGCAACCTCAAGTGTCCTGAGTAGAGCATCATGCCTTAGGGTTTTCAAGACCGGTCTTTCAGCTCCAGGCCTGACTTCTAAGGGGGCTCTCAGTGGGCTGAACTGTCAATCTTATAGCTAGTAGTTCAGTGGTGAACTATTTTAACTACTTCGGGACTCTTAAAGAGTATAAATATTAAAAATGCATGTTCATAAAATGCATGCATATATGTAAATAAATTCCCAAAGGCTATGACTTGCAGGCAGAGAAAACTAAAATTGGTGGAAATGCATGGTGTACTTTGCCAAGTTCAATATAAGGAGGCGTAGGAGAACTCAAGGAAGAATCAGTTACTTGAGCAAAACACAAAATAATAAAAGATAACGTAATTATGAGCTCCCTGAATGTAATTCTATCCTGACAATCCAATGCCTAGTTAGATATTATTGGAAGTAAAAGTTGAAAGAAATACAGGAAGAGATTGTCCTGCCACTCCCAAGGGCTGCTGTTAGAGTCCACTAGCAGTTCCCAGGAGACTGATGTGGCCGTCCGTTACCACAAAGGTTTACAGTCCCCAAATCCAAAGGGGCAGTTCCAATTGGTCCTGAGTTGCTGTGAAAGGGAATTGACTTGAGGGGAGTGGGTTTGCAATATTACATAAACACACAAATGAGAAAATATGCCTTTTTGGGTGGAACAGATAATAAAGCAAAATTATTTCTAAGCACATGAACTCATAAAGATAATGTCCCCCACTACCCTTGAACACAGAAACAAACTTGCTAACTGGATGATCAATTTCAGATCAACCATAGCCAATCTAATATTCTTTGTGCAGAACACAACCTTCTCAAGTGGGCAGCCCAGCCTTTATGTAGGCCCCAAGTCAAGGACTCCGATTTTGTTTGAAGAAATCCCCCACATTCATTCAGCATATTATGGTGAAATCATTTTTCTCTCAAAAGCTCTTCACTTACTGAAAATAAAAATCAGACGAGTTGTTATTTTCCTGATATTGTTGGCTAGCCAGCATAGACATAAATAAAATTCTTACAAATACATATGAGGGGGCTTCAAAAAGACCATGGGAAGAAAAAGAAAATATTTCCTGTAATTCCATTGTTCCTGAACTTTTTGAAACCCCCAGTGTGTACGTGCACAAACATGCGTGTGTGTGTGTGTGTGTGTGTGTGTGTTAGGTAAAAACTAAAGAAAATGAATCAATTATGTTTTTGAAACTCATCAGCCTTTTGGCTTTAAAATTCCTAGGAAACTAAAGTTTCTTGTACATGTGGAAGTCTCAGAGGAACAGATTCCCTGAGGAGTTTAATAAACCCATGCTGTGAGTACAACTTGCCTCTTTTCTGCCCAGTGAGCTTCCTCTGGGGACAGTGAGTCACTTTTAAAGACTTGTTAGTCTCTGAAAGTGTTTCTTCTTGGTATAGCTTGAGCTGTTGATTTGCCTTGTACTATTTTGACCAACTTCACAGGGAGCCCTCATAGAACATTTCCTATGGAAATCTCATCCCCTATACTTTCAAGCTCAGTTTCAAGGAAAATCTTTGGATCATATTTGGGGATGCCTTCTGCTTTCTTTTCATGTAAACAATTTCCATTGAGATGGGGCCACAGCTAGTAAGACAAGGTCATAGGTGATAGAGGAAGAAGTCTTCTGTGCTGGGAAAAAGATGGAAAACTTACTAAAAGTATGTCCCAAGTAACAGAAAGACTATTAAGCTCCCACGGTGATTGTTTGATTTCTTTGAGGGGCAGATAGGAAAAAGACCAGAAGAGAATTATATGATAAAGTCTTTCTTCAAAAATTTGTTTTAAGTGATTCAGTAATGATTCATATTCACAAGAAAGTAATGTGTGTGCTTGCACATGTTTCCATTTGTAACTTAGATTTATTGCCTAATTTTGGCGAATCTGTATCTTTCTTATTATATTCCTTAATCTCTGGCCCAGACTCCTAAAGCCCAGCCTCTATTCCCAGTACCTTAAGTAGGTAATTGTTGAAATTAAATAGTTATTCTAGTACTCAAATAATAAAAATAGGAGAGTGTCTCTCTCTCTCACTCATTCTCTTTCTCCTGTTCCTTGTATATTTATGTGTTTTCTGGAATCAGATTATCTAGAAAACTTTCTCAGCTGATCCAACCACTACAAAATATGGGATAGCCTGATTTTCTGCCCCAGTTAATATTTTTTGCATTGCTCCAATATTTTCTGTCTTCTGACCCTGCATTGCAGGGAAATTTATGTATTATAAATAAAAAAGACAATATTTAAATTCCATTTTAGGTAAGTTGATTTCATCTACTACTGTTTTCCTCATGAATGAAATGAAATGTTTAAATGTGTTTTATGTAATTTTGGATATGTTTTCAAACGATCTATAAGTAACTAATGCAGTGAAATAGCTAATAATATAAAATGCTATCTATTATTTAGCTTAAAATTAGATTTTTTATTACAGAGTGTATAAAATTATATTTAAAGTGTTTTGCCATTTCTGGAGAGGAAATCAATCTTATTTATAAAATAACCTTGAAATATTGATTTAAATAAAGGGATGTTACCTTTCCACTCATATATTTTTGTGCATTGCATATAATTTATTCCTAAATATTTGGCATTCATAATATTAACATGTAATTTAGTATTTATTTTATGGTTTTTTAATATTAAAATATTGAAACTATTTTCCAACTACTACTATCATGGAATACATGATATAACATGAGATATTTCATATCTATAAAAAATTACACAATCTATATATCCTCTTAGCATCCTAGTTCTTGTAATGTGAATATTGATAATAAACATTTACTGTATTTGAAGTACCAACTGAATTTATGAAATGAAAGCTTTGACAAATATAATGTTAGTGAAACAATTCTAATCTCCTCTTAGAATTAGATAATATAAAACGAATGGTGGCATAAAGGTGGCATCAATATTTTCATAAATCCTTATTGGAATGTTTGTAGGAAAAACTATCTATCATTCAATTTTGCTAGAGGTAGAATGACTAAAATAATTTCTTTTCAAGTTTTTCACATAGTTTGTGCTTTTGTGAAAGTTTTATCTTACTTATGTCTCTTCTAGAACCCTGTTTACAGGAAATGGACAAAGCATAGAAATGGAAAATTGGACTTTAGTGACTGAGTTTATTCTTGTGGGGATACCAACCACCAGAGTGGTAGGAGAACTCTTATTCTTGATTTTCTTGTTGGCTTATTTGGTCACTGTCCTTGGAAATGCACTCATCATTACCCTGATCATTGTAGACTACAGGCTCCAATCACCCATGTACTTTTTCCTCAGCAATCTCTCCTTCAGTGAGATATTAACTACCACATGTGCTGTTCCCAAGATGCTGGAAGGCTTCCTGTCAGAGAGGAAGACCATCTCACGTGGGGGGTGTTCTGTCCAATCCTATTTCTACTTTCTCTCCGGATGTACTGAATTCATCATTTTTGCCGTCATGTCCTATGATCGCTATGTGGCCATTTGTAGTCCCCTTCAGTATCCAGTGATTATGACTGGCTCACTCTGTGTCCGTCTCGTCATCCTTTCCTGGGTGGGAGGGTTTCTCCTCATCCTGCCATCCACTGTTCTTAAGGCAGGGTTGCCGTACTGTGGCCCCAATGTGATCGATCACTTTTTCTGTGACAGTGCTCCCCTTCTCCACTTGGCCTGTGCTGACATCCGAATCATCGAGCTCCTGGACTTCCTCAGTTCCCTTGTCCTGCTCATCAGCTCCCTCTCCCTCACCGTGGTCTCCTATGTGTACATCATCTCCACCATTCTGAAGATACCCTCAGGGCAAGGTCAACGCAAAGCCTTTGCCACCTGTGCCTCTCACTTCACTGTGGTCTCCATGGGCTATGGGATCTCCATCTTCGTCTATGTTCGCCCCTCACAGAAAAGTAGTCTTCACCTCAACAAGATGCTCTTCCTCCTCTCCAGTGTCATCACACCTCTCCTGAACCCCTTCATTTTCAGTCTGCGGAACGAAACCATGAAGGATGCCCTGAAGGACACTTTGGCTAAGGGACAGAGCTTCCTCAAGGGACTTATGTCCACATGATAGCATCTTTGAAAATCATCGCATCCTAGGGATCCTCAAATTCACCCATAGAGATTCCAAGAAGACTCATCATATTTATGTTCAGAGATGGTCTAAATTATGGTGTTAGCTCCAATTATGATAACATAATATACTGGGTTCATGTGCTACTTAAGGGTTGAACAATTTGTTACATTAACTAAATATTGCAATTTCAAGATTCTGTGTGATAGTCTGAGTAACATTTTCAGAAATAACAATATATTATTTAGTTCTAAGCTATAATTGCACATAGAATTCTCGGTTGAGAATAAATATACATATTTATTAGTAGAGATATGAAAACAGATATGAATCCATTCATTTTAGAATAAGCCCTCCCCTTACCTCTCAAACACCACACATTCAAACATATTGGAATTGAACAACTATGCAATACAATTTGGGTTATTGTTTTACAGGCTTAAACACCATCTTACTTTGGAATAAAGATGATATGATTTTTTTTATTATTCACTGCAATTCCATTGCATATGGCAATTTTACTATGTATTGGTGTTTTATGTAATTTTGGATATGTTTTTTTTTGTCAAAATATAATCTTCTTTGGGAAATATATATTATTTTCTAATGGAAAGTAAGTCTTCTCTTATGTTGTTATTGCTGTTAGCTACCAGCTTGGTTCTGACCCAGCGCAACACTGTGTAAAACAGAATGGAGCACTTGCGAATCCCGTACCATCATCACAATTGTGGTTTTGGTTGAGCCTGTATCCAGTGATGTAATGTCACTTTATCATGTTAATTTAATTTCTCTTTATATTTGAGAGGGATATAGTCCAAATGAGAAAAAAAGATGTGTTAGACTGAAAAAGCAACATACACCCACAAGAACTTTACTTCTCAAAGTATGGGTAGCAAAAGACTAATGTTCTTCAATTATTTAGTAATAATATTTTTAAAATTAGAATGTATATGTAATTCTAAACAATTGAATTAAAATAACAACAGCATTTAATATATTGTTAGATATTTTATAATTAATTATTAGAATTAACTTTTAATATATTTATTCCATTGATTGAATGGAAAAATAGTAATTACTAATTATTTTCTAGGAGATGGTGTCAATATATGATTTGAGTAACTTAATGCTCTTTTATTTTATATTATTTACTTATATTTTATATTTATTTTCATTTATTATTAAATGACAGTTAATGCATATTTCATGTAATTCATGTCAATATTGTACAAATGTGACCACAATGAGTTTCCAAACATCTTTTTCTACATGGACAGCTTGACATCGTCTCCCTTTTTACATCCACCTCCCAGCACCCACACACACACACCACTGTGCCCGCTGCAACTTGCAAAACCCTTATTCTTCTTGCTGTCCCTATAGGTTCATCAATCCTGGATTTCATATACCCAAAGACATACTACATAACTTCAAGAGGGTGCCCCCTGATGACATAAACGTCTGAGATAAACCCTAATATGAACAAATGAAAATACAGAAAATGTTGAAAAAGAGATCAGGGACAGCATGCATCAGAGGGAGATCAACTGACACAGTTCTAACTGTTCAAGTCAGTTTTATCCCAATGATGGTCTCTACTCATCTCTCCACTGCACTCTGTTTAGTAACCCCTTCCTCCCATCCCTTTATTGTGCATAGAGAGAGATCACCAGAGGCGCATTTCCTATGTCATTCCCACAAATGTACCTCGGGCTCCCTCGCCCTTGTCTGCCATCGCCTTCTGGAAACCAGATTCTCACAATTGAGACTCTGATACTAACCCCTGCTTTGAGTTCAGATATGATTTACAATCTTTCAGTTACTGATGATGGTGTGCTTCCTCCATGTGGACTTAGTTGACACCTCACTTAGATGGCTGCTTTTTTGGAAACAAGCCCTTAAGTCCCAAGACATTACTTTATCTCAGAGCTGGACACAATCTAATTTCTTTGCTACATTTTGCTATAGCACCCATGTCTTCTGTGGTCTCTTCCTGAGGGTGAGTATCAAGCAGGGCCATGATGTAAGAACTAATTGTTCTTAAATTGGATTTAGGATGTAGTGTGAGCCCCCAAACCATTCCTGGGTCTATGTTTTTGTTTGTTTGTTTTTTATCTGCCTTTGATTCCTTTTCAACTCCTCCTTGCTAATTCATGGTTCAGAGTCTTATCAATCATCCCTCTGAGGCATAATGATCTTTCATTGCCTTTAATGAGCCCCGGGTACTAATTATTTAAAGCCATGTTGAGAGAGGGCTATTGGGTCAATGTAGGCTAAATCCATATCACAGTACCTGAATTATTCACTTGAACAGAATCAATCCTTTCCAGGCTGGATGCTATTTACACAAACAACGGGGGTTAATTGTCAGGGAAATTTACAATAATAATCATTGAAAATGTCCATCACAGTTTGGCCAGAATAACACATATCTTAATGCAGCATATGGGGCATTGAGGTAGCAAGATCACATTTGCAGGCTACCAACCGTTCAACAGTCTCAGTACAGGTGTCCTCCGCTTCCTCAGACACCATGTCTTTTCGGAAGTCAAAGCCTCAGATTCCCAGTGTACCTGAGGAAGAGTCCAGTTGACCCAGTGGAGTGTCCCCCTCAGATCTCACTGATGCATATATGGCCTTTAAAGAGTTGAGGATTTTCCTTTCAAATCCTGTCTTCTTCAGAGCTTGTATTTTCAATGGGTTTTGGATAATGTAACATGCCTTTTCTGTATCAATTGATATGATCATATGGTTCTTATCTTTTTTTCTTGTTAATGTGGTGGCTTACATTAATTGTTTTTTGAATGTTGAATAATCCCTGCTTCCCTGGTATGAATCCCACTTGGTCCATGATATATTATTTTTATATATATACTGTTAGATTGTATTAGCTAAGATTTTGTTGAGAATCTTTGTATCTATGTTCATGATGGATATCCGCCTAAAGTTCTCTATCCTTTTATGATTGAACTTTCATAATTGTTTTTCTTAATTTTATAATTCCATTATAAAACCCAATGCGATTGGAATACTAAATGTCATTCTTTATCTGACATAACACATAAAAAAGAATTTCTATTTGGTTAAAGTTAAGATGATTTATTTCCATTTGTTATGTACTACTCACTGAAAAGCCAAACTGATAAATTGAATAAACTTATGATTGCATCCACTGTATCTAGAGTCCTTAAATAAGTTTGACACTGTGAAAGAACTATTTTATGTTACCTGAGATTCAATATTTCCTATTATTAACCTTTTGTAATAAGGAAGTGGGATTAGGGAGCTTCTTCCAAAGAACAATTCTTAATACATGGGTCAGGGAACAATGATTTAATTTCATACATCTCTTAGATACATTTATGTACATCCAGCTCAGGCATCAAAGAAAACTCAAAGATTACATTGAAATCTCAAATTACAGTTTATTACTTCACCCAGTCTATCGAGTGGAGGAGTTTTTCATACCTTACCTAATATGTCCACTCAAACTCTATATACAACAGCCTTGGTAAAATCTGGATATTTTCTTTTCAGCTGTCAAAAAGTACACTTAGGAAATAATTTTTTGCGGGGAAAGGAAAACATCACTAGTCTATACAATCAGTGCGACACTGCAAGGTACTTTCTGAAGTGGAACTCTCAAATTAGAGAGGAACTCAATTATTAAAATTAAAAAACAATTTTCTTATCATTGCAACAACTCTACCACTTGGGTGTCAGTTAGCTGTATCATGGTGCCTGGGGGGTTGCTATGTTGCTAGAAGTCATACCACTGGTGCTTCCACATACCACCAGGGCCACCCACAGTGAACAGGTTTCAGCATAACTTCCAGACTAACAACAGACTACAAATGTCTTAATTTGCTGATCAGGCATGACTCAAAAACATGAAAAAAACCAGGTGTAAATGTAAACTAATACTTGAAACTTAGAATGTACCAAGTATGAACCTAGGAAAATTAGAAGTTCTTGAAAAGAGTAATTGTACATTAAGAAAATATCCCAGCCTAGTCCAGATCAAGTCCATAAATCCAATATTAGTCCATATGTCCAATACCAATCTATAAAGTCCTCTTCAGACTAACAAAGCACATGAAATAACACCGAATGCAGAAAGATTACAGGTCAGTGGGTGGGAAGTCTTGTGGATTCAGTGGTGTTGTAAGCATCTCAGTGCTGGCAGGGGTTTCCATGTGGTTACTTCAGCTCCAGGGCTCTAGCATAGCTCCATGTGCCTTGTCCACAGGAATGTCTTGCAGGGAGTGAGTGTGTGTTCCACCTCCAACAAATGAGGTCATCAAACTGTGACCTGATTGACAGGCTAAACTCCACCCATTCATTTTTAATTCTCAATTTGACAACAGGTTATGTAACTACCACTCTGAGTCATAATCCATGCTACTTAGACAAAATGACTCATTGTGTTTGTCTGGGCAGACTAGAGAAACAAATTCATAGACACTCATGTGTGTATAAGAAAAAGCTTTATATACAGGAGCCGTTGAATATTGAGAAAACAATCCAGCCCAGTTTAGATCAAGTCTATAAGTCTGATATTAGCCCATAAGTCCAATACCCATAGATCAAGTCTATAAGTCTGATATTAGCCCATAAGTCCAATACCCAGCTAATTAAGTCCCCTTCAGACTCATGAAACACATGCAACGATGCTGAATGCAGGAAGATGACAAACCAGTGGGTGCAAAGTCCTGTGGATCCAGTGGTGATAGAAGCCTCTCAGAGCTGGCAGAGCTCTCTCCACATGGCTTCTCCAATTCCAGAGATCACAAGCTATATCAGTGTAGCACCATGTGTCTTGTCAGTAGAGCATCTCTCAGAGAGTGAGCAGAGAGAGAGTTTGTCTCCCATCTCCAAGGAGGAAAATATAGGAGTTTCCAGAATCCTCAGGAGAAGGCCATGTCCACATAGAGGCCTCATTAGCTATGACCCCATTGACACAGTACACTCCACCCCTTCACTCTTAATCCTCTTAA